CAATTTTTCTTAGGCAGACGATTTTAATGCAAATTCTTGATCAAAATACTCCTATAATTGTAGAAAAAAATTGACAGCCAAATACGAGTAGAGGAAGACACCTATTACCACAAAAAAGTCATCCAACCCATAAATCCAAAATCATAAAAAAGTTCCCAAAAAAATTCAATTTTTCTTAGGCAGACGATTTTAATGCAAATTCTTGCACAAAATACTCGTATAATTGTAGAAAAAAATTGACAGCCAAATACGAGTAGAGGAAGACACCTATTACCACCGAAAAGTCATCCAACCCAAAAATCCAAAATCATAAAAAAGTTCCCAAAAAAATTCAATTTTTCTTAGGCAGACGATTTAGTGCAAATTCTTGCACAAAATACTCGTATAATTGTAGAAAAAAATTGACAGCCAAATACGAGTAGAGGAAGACACCTATTACCACCGAAAAGTCATCCAACCCATAAATCCAAAATCATAAAAAAGTTCCCAAAAAAATTCAATTTTTCTTAGGCAGACGATTTAGTGCAAATTCTTGCACAAAATACTCGTATAATTGTAGAAAAAAATTGACAGCCAAATACGAGTAGAGGAAGACACCTATTACCACCGAAAAGTCATCCAACCCATAAATCCAAAATCATAAAAAAGTTCCCAAAAAAATTCAATTTTTCTTAGGCAGACGATTTTAATTCAAATTCTTGCACAAAATACTCCTATAATTGTAGAAAAAAATTGACAGCCAAATACGAGTAGAGGAAGACACCTATTACCACCAAAAAGTCATCCAACCCAAAAATCCAAAATCATAAAAAAGTTCCCAAAAAAATTCAATTTTTCTTAGGCAGACGATTTTAATGCAAATTCTTGCACAAAATACTCGTATAATTGTAGAAAAAAATTGACAGCCAAATACGAGTAGAGGAAGATACCTATTACCACCGAAAAGTCATCCCACCCAAAAATCCAAAATCATAAAAAAGTTCCCAAAAAAATTCAATTTTTCTTAGGCAGACGTTTTTAATGCAAATTCTTGCACAAAATACTCCTATAATTGTAGAAAAAAATTGACAGCCAAATACGAGTAGAGGAAGACACCTATTACCACCGAAAAGTCATCCAACCCAAAAATCCAAAATCATAAAAAAGTTCCCAAAAAAATTCAATTTTTCTTAGGCAGACGATTTAGTGCAAATTCTTGCACAAAATACTCGTATAATTGTAGAAAAAAATTGACAGCCAAATACGAGTAGAGGAAGACACCTATTACCACCGAAAAGTCATCCAACCCATAAATCCAAAATCATAAAAAAGTTCCCAAAAAAATTCAATTTTTCTTAGGCAGACGATTTAGTGCAAATTCTTGCACAAAATACTCGTATAATTGTAGAAAAAAATTGACAGCCAAATACGAGTAGAGGAAGACACCTATTACCACCGAAAAGTCATCCAACCCATAAATCCAAAATCATAAAAAAGTTCCCAAAAAAATTCAATTTTTCTTAGGCAGACGATTTTAATGCAAATTCTTGCACAAAATACTCCTATAATT